AATCAATTTAGTCTGTGATGACAACATCTAGCCAGAATGTAGCCAGTTCAAGAATGCTCCGATCGAAGAGCGGGGCTTCGATTTCTTCGTGGATCGACCGAGGGTCAGCCAGCTGTGTAGAAGATTCTCCGGGATCGTCGGACTATTACGGCCTGGGCCGCTTGTTACCGTGTAACTGATATGTCAAGATAGGATCCTATCACTGAGGCGAGATGAGACTTAGTCCTGCGTTTCCTCTCGTCGCGTCGGTTCGTTTTCGTATTCTCATTCTATATATTACAATAATAAAGATGGGGGTGGGTGGGGGGGGGGACCTGGCCGAAGACACGGTCCACCCGGGATAGTGTACAGGTACTTGATGAAGAGATTCGTGCCCTCCGTATTCGAGCCAGGGACGCGCCAATCTGCGGCCGATCGAACGACGAACAACGGGGGGAGGGCGAGATAAGCGAGAAAAGCGACAATGGTAACGACGACGATGCTCTCCTCTCTGTCTCTCTTACAGAGGATGGTCCATCGTTGGACGCTGTCGTTACGCCTCGAGCCAGCCGAGACGAAGCGATTTCGTGATCGTTGCTCGCGGCTGAGACCCGCGTCAGCATTCGAGCGAAACGATCGCGTCAATCGTGGGCTGTCCTCCTCCGTTCAAATTTCTCTTCCGGCTGATTATTTTTTTTTTCTTTTTTTCTTTTTTTTTTTTTTTTACTTCTTTTTCATTTTGACGCGTCAGAAAAGACCTTTCCCATGGGTTTCCCCATGGGTCGAGGTCTGAACTAGCGGCGACTAGACGTTCCTTTCTTCTTCCTTTCTCTGACCTTCTTCCTTCCTTTCTTTCTCTCTCTTTCTTTCTCCTTCTCTCTGTCTCTCCTTCGTTTTCTCCCTGTCCAGTTTCTCGTACTGAGACAAGGCTTCCTTCCACCGGTTCCGGGGAGTGGAGCTTGGCCAAAAAGGTCAATAGGTCGACACAAAGAGACCTGGCCAGCGGCAGTGAGCTAGCTGTCACTGACGCACACGCCACCAGGTCTGCTGCACCTTCTCGTGGAGCTTCCTACAAATACCCGCGAGCCTCCGTCACATTCCAGCCTCCGCGGCGTTCTCATCCGTCTCACCGCCCCCTTCCTCGCTCGGCAGGGTCGTCTTCGTCGCTCCGCCCGTGTCGCCCGTCTCTGCCGTCTCTGCCGTCTCTGCCGTCTCTGCCGTCTCTGCCGTCTCTGCCGTCTCGCCTGTCTCGTCACCCTCTTCCAGTGTCACCTGAAACATCAACAGAGATTGGTCTTGAACTTCCTTCCCTAAAATTCGTAATTAGATTTGGTGGGAAACTTAAGATTGAGAAAAGTCGACGACAAGTCTACCGACAGACTTGCCAAGAACACCAGGTCTCCAGTCCAGAAGAGTCGAAAGAAGATTCGAAACAATTCTTTACCTGGAAGTGTATCCTGTCAGACTGTTGTTCGTTCCCTTGTTGCTGCTGTTGCTGTTGATCGTCGGACGGCGGTGACGGAGGAATCATCGACTGGTACCAGTCTCGATTCTCCTCTAACGTGTCCAGGATATCCTGAGCGTCCGGATGGACCAGATCGGCCCAAGTTTCCCACAGAGGATGAACGATGTAGTCTATGAAGCCGACCTGCGACTTCTCCACGGTGGCGCTGTGCCTGTCGCACATCGGGCTGATATCCATGTTCTGCTCGCGTTCTCGATCGCCCTGAAGGAAGAACTCCTCCATCAGGAGACCAACCCATCGTCGATAGAGTGACAAGGGTTTCGTAGGATTGGACAGGTCGGCGCAGTGCACCAGGTTCTCGAGAACCTGGATCCGATCGGTGTAGTTGTCCAGCAGAAGGACACCAGAGCCCGCCACTTTCTTCGTTTCCACCATGGTCTTCAAATCCGCCAGCAGGGACATGTGCTTGGACATGTCGGTGGACAGGACCATGTCGATGACCATCTTCCTCAGCGTCTGGCGTTGCTTCTTCGTCATGTTGACGAAGATGTCGCAGCCCTCGTTCTGGAGCAACTTGAACGCCACTGCCAGATGGTGGTTCTCCAGAACGGACTCGTCATTGTACATCAGAGCGAGCTCCGAGCCTGGGAAAATCGTTAAAATTATTTAGAGATTTCATCGAAGATTCACGATTTGAGAGATCAGTTAGTAAAAATAAAAAAAAGTAAGAATGCAAATGTGTGAAATTTTTAAATTCTACTCCAAGTTCTCTTAAGTTAAAAAATTCTGTCACACGTGCTGTATCCAGGCTCCGCTATTAGGATCCTGGGACCGAATATAACCGACGCGGGCAATTACAGGCAATCAATTTGAAATAAAAGTTCCCGTGGAAAGCAAATACTCACTCGAATTAATGAGGAACTGGTTGGTGAGTCCAGGATGGTCCACGTCGTGAATGGTGGCGGCGAACAGGGCAGCCGTGATTTCCAGCGGTGTGAACACGGACTGCAATTAGAGAACAGTGCCAATTAGCCAGCCGGTATCGTTGGGCGTTAATTGGACATCAATCTAAGTCTAGAGAATATCGATTAACACGAAACCCGGAACAAACCGGGTTGCAACAACATGGCGAAACGTGCAACGATTTCTGATCACAGAGACGATCTTAAAAACGCGCGAAATCGTTTCGAGGAAAAATAGCCAGTCTGTTTTTTTTTTTTT